TGCGATGCTACCTGCAATGATACCGGCAATGCTACCTGCAATGCTACCTGCAATGCTACCTGCGATGCTACCTGCGATGCTACCTGCAATGATACCGGCAATGCTACCTGCAATGCTACCTGCAATGCTACCTGCGATGCTACCTGCGATGCTACCTGCAATGATACCGGCAATGCTACCTGCGATGCTACCTGCAATGATACCGGCAATGATTGATTGATGATTGATTGATTGTCCCCCTAAGGCCTAAGCCCCGTATCCTTACAGACTTAGGGTGTACTCACACTAGGTGATCCGTACCGTGCCTGAGCACATGGTACCCCCAAAGTTCAGTTTGTTTGACTAGTATGACCGCTGCATAGTGTGCCTGGGTTCCACTCAAAGAGGTGGGCTGGGACACAGTTAAGCTGGACTCAGGCATGGTACGTATAGTATGGTATTGAACAGCACACTGCAACGTTACCTTTATTATACAATGCCAAAACATTCCTTACTTTGGGATTTTAATCTTAAAATTAGCACTTTCTTCATGGCTAAGGCACTTAAGGAACCATTTGCCTAATTTGCATGTGTTCCAGGCTACTGCCTTTCAGAGTGGATGAGAGGCAGTTGTCAAAGAATTTACTCTTTTTTATCAAAACAGCATAATTAAGCAAAACCTAAACAAAATGTTTTATTTATCGTTTACCCATCCATGCATCCTCTGTTATCCCCGGGGTTTCACGTCACGAAGCTAGGAACTGTGGGTAATTCCCTCAGACAAAGTCTGCAGGAATGTGGACTTAATGGAAACTGTGCATAACAGAGGGGGCACACCATGATGAGGATCAAAGTATAATATTTAGTCCCCCCTCCCCCCTCCACTCAGCTGTCAGAATGGCAAGTCAGCAAAAGTCAGGTGCTCAGAAAAGGAGAGGAAAACGAAGGAGAATACGATAGCAGAGGTGCAATGGGTTTTATGACCAGGTATTTGATAAAAGATGTTGAATTTTGGTGGCGTGGTGACGATCTTAGTTAGTCTGTAGTTTGATTTAATAGTGTGTGTTCTTTTAGTGTGAGCAGTTTTTAGCCAGTCAGCGACCTGTACGCAGTCGGAAAATGCGGGGGAGGGGTGCCACAAGTCCCCGGGCATGAGCAAGACATACAGAAACCCTCAGGTGTGGTGTGTGGCTCAGAGGGCTAAGCTTCTATGCCTGTGATCGGTAGGTTGCTGGGTCAAGTGCAGCCTCGACGTACCTGCGGCTCCTTGAGCAAAGCCCTTAGCTCCTAGAGCGCTGCTTTGCATGGCTGCCCTTCACAGCCAGCATGCCCTCACCTACAGGAAAGTTGAGGGAGGTGTAAAGGGAATTTGATCAATGAAGTGTCAATTATAATGGGCACAAAATGTCTGAAAGAGAGATGTCATGCACTTGATGATTTGACAGTGGTACAGTGCTAAGACCTTAAGGCAGGGGTCTCAAACTCAAATTGGTTGGGGGCCATTGCTGTGACTGATATTTCATAGGAGGGCCATTTTACCATTCAAGCACAACATTTGTGGAAATTTACTTTAATTGCTGAGTTGTTAACTTTCTTTTACATTACATTACTAACATATTTCTGTTATACTTAACAAAAATATAAACAACAGTGTCTGTGTATTACAGTATGTTATATATTTTTTACTTTTTAATTAAGTTACCTACTTTATTTTAACTTAAGTTACTTTCCCCGCTTTCCCGCGTAGCTAATCATAAATGTCACTCGATAATTCAGTAATCCGCTCTGCCACTGTATTTGCCGATAAAGAGAGATTGTTGAACATGTTCTTCTTTTCTGGACATAAAATATCAGCGACCTTCAACATACAGTCCTTCATAAACTGCCCTTCAGTGAATGGCTTTCCTGCTTTAGCGATCATCTCACTCACCACATAACTCGCTTCAACTGCGGCATCAGCATCCTTTTTGGCTTTGTAGAAAAGAGTTTGCTGGGACGTTAGCTCTCTCTGCAACTGGGTGGCTCGTTTTTTTCTTTCGTCTTCCTGGTACTTCTCATACTGGTCTCCATGTTTAGTAGAGTAATGACGCTTGAGATTGTATTCCTTTAGAACGGCAACTTTTTCTTTGCATATTAATTAGACAGGTGGCATTTCCATTAAACTCCACAAAAAATACTGCAGTGTCCATCTTTCCTGAAACTGTCTGTGTTCATCATCCACTTTCCTTTTCGGTTTGGAATAAGACATTTTCGTTCACAGCCAAACAAAAATAAACTGCTAAAGCCCCGAAACTAGCTCTCTTCTTAGCATGTCTGCTGGCACACGTAGGTTTTTTACGCTATCACCGTATTCATTTTTTTTTTACCGTGTTTTTGTTTGTGTTGTTTTTGTATATTGAATGAGTAGTTTAAATTGCTATAAAATAACTACAAAAATGATAATTAATATTAATATTAAATATTGTTAATTAATATTTTGCGGGTCGGATTGCGTTATATTTTTAACGTCAGTTGCGGGCCGGAGGGAGGGGGAGGGAGGGCCGTAAATGGCCCGCGGGCCGGCAGTTTGAGACCCCTGCCTTAAGGGAATGTGCCTCAAAGTCCATGAATGTGGACATTGGGTTTGGGCCTGAATGTCAATGATAACTATTTGTTACCTGCTTTCTGCCGTCATTCCAGCTTGGGAAGCATAGTCCCCGCTGCAAATTCACGGTCTGTGGCTTTAGCGCCATCTACAGGTCAATGAAGCGTACTGCATGGATTCTGCCACTGCCCGGAGGAAGCAAAAACGACACTGTGACTCGAGGAGCCGCAGAAAACAAAGCCCCCAACTTACAAAGTTTCAAACGAGGATAGAAAGTGAAAGAAAGAATGAGACGTAGTGTCCGTTAGTTAACATTAGGTTTCCACAGACACAGATTTTTTAAATTGTAATATGGTTTCTTTGAAACTCTAGCTAAAGTGACTATGGATTACGGTGAAGAAAAGGCATATTTCACAGCATCATGTCTGTGAAATGTATAAATGTTTTTAAAAAACAACGACAACAACAACAACAACAAAAACCTGTGCGCTACTTAAAAGCATGTATCACTTTAACCACTAGATGGCACATGTTTCACGAAAATCACAGAGCATATACTGTATAATACGAGCGGCCGCAGGGGTCGGTCATTAATAGTCTAACAAACTATGCCCACGTTCTACCCGTGACTAACATCAAAACCCATTAACAGGAAGACGGCACATGTTGACATATAATTGAAATAAAATCAACAACAGCATTCAATATAGTGTATGCTGATCATTTGACAGCGCATAAAAGTTTGACTTCTTCATTCTGATTATTGCCATAAAACAAATTCTTGCGTTTTTATCTGTTTGAACTTGTTAAATCTAAAAACACAGCCAATGGTAACACACTCTGTTGCCAGCGAGTCAGTTTAACGCTTGCCTGTGTCACGTTAGGCTCGTCGGGTTAGGGTCTTCTCTTAAAAATGTTACCCTGGATAAATGAACAAGCAAATAAATAGTGTATACAGTACATGTATATAATTTAAGACATGGTGCTGTGAAATCTGCCTTCTCTTTGCCATAACCCAGAGTCTCAATGGAACTATATTACATTTTTTTAAATCTGCGACTGTGGAAACCCGATATTAAAATGTGGACACTACATGTCATCCCATCCAACCCATCCATCCATTTTCTGAAACCACTTGTCCTATTCAGGGTTGCAGGGGGGTCCGAGGTCGATCCCAGAGGCTATGGGCACAAGGCAGGGAACAACCTGGGAACTGGGATGGGGTGCAAACCCATCACAGGGCACCGTCACATACACACTACCCACTCACACACATGCACACCTACGAGCAATTTATATTGAAAATGCATATGAAAGATATTTGTGCGTTGCCCCATCCCGTTTGTCACCCCAGTTAAAGCAGTCCTTACGGAGAATTCGAAGCCAGCTATAAAGTACAAACGAGCTTTGCATAGTCACAGAGGCTGATACCTGAAAGCGATGAGTAACAAAGGCAGCCTTTGATGAGAAAGGCCTTAACAGGACTAAAGCAAAAGAATGTTTATTTCCATAATTATATTTTTGTTTCATCATCCAGTGGTTTTGAACCAGTACTAAGGATAATCCACTTAATTAATCAGTCCTATTATTATTAATATTATTATTTAAATCTAGCCCTGTGCAAACTGGATTTACTACATCAACTGTTGTGTTCAACTAAGAATGAAAACCACTGGGCATTGCAACTTTCACCAATTTCCCCCGCATTAATAAGCAGTTTTAGGTACAATAAATGCAATTTGCCAAATGCTGCATTAGGTGTCCAGTGTAAACATTAACATGCCATCTTTAACATCTATAATGTAGCTTCTAACAAAGTCATCTTATACTTAATTTAAGGAATTTGCCATATATCAGGTTAGTTAGGCAAGAGAGATAGATTGTTTGTACAGCTATGGAATCCAGTGACGATGTCATCAGTCCATGGCTTCCGCCTTCTTCTCTGCAACCCAGAAAGGTCTGTGATCATCTGTGCTAATTAGCTACACTCCTGTAAACTGCTGGGGTTCACTGTAGTTAGCCTGAAGGAAAGCTGCAGCTGTCTGTTTTTCTTCAGTGTCTTATAGGAATCTACATGCTGTAATATTTAGTATCTTCTCAAGAGTCTGCAGCGTTGGCACCAGGGGAAGAGAAATGGACCATTTTCCATGTTTAATGGAAAAAATCAGGCTTGGTCAAAATGTTAAGATATCATCTGAGGTATGATGTTTGGGCAAAGAGGACTTTCCCACAACTCTAACTAGGCCAAGTGACTGCAGGATGGATGGATGGATAGATGGATGGATGGATCCAGCAAAGTGTTGAACCCCCTTCAGCTACAAAAACAACAACAAATATGGGACTAGGGTGAATTCTGTGCATGTAGGCAAAGGAGTCTTTGTTCTGTCAGATATTACAGAGGTTTGACATATAGTTGCCAGATCATAAGAAACCTGATGACCCCAAGGCATGCTGGGGAATAAAAACTGACTTCCTGTAGTGATGCCACACCTGCCACCTAACCGGCTCCCTTTTAATGTGCTGACGTCAGGGAATATTGGGTGAGCTGTGCAGTTTTGTTTTTGGGACTTTTGAACTTCTTCTTGTCTTTGAGTTTTTGTGGCTTGGATGTTCTGAAGACACAAATTACAATTGCGAACCTACAACCAGGAGTTTGGACATTTGGCCATGAAATGCATGAAATATTGATAATTTTCTCCCACAGATTCACGTTTGTATTTAAAGTAGAAAGATTTTCTTCTTTATGTTACATATTCCTGGTTGGCGACCCGTCCTGGATTATTCCCTGCCTTATGCCCGCAGCCTCCGGGATAGGATAGGCTCCAGACCCCCCACGACCCTGCGTGGGACATGCAGGTACAGAAAATGGACTGAGGGATATTCTAATATTTCTATTTCTAATCCCCTAATTTATCAAAAAGCAGATGCATGTTAGAAATAACAGCAGTTGGCACCGATGATTCACGCCTCCATAGACGGGGATCAGATTGCCTGTTATACCTGTTCTTCAGGGGGGTTTCTGTTCCTCCCGGTTTGGTGAATTTGGGCTCCGCATTAGTCACAATGTGTGAGTGTCTGCGTGTATATGCCCTGGGACAGGATGTACCCTGACTGGCTCTATTCACTCACCATGACCAGGTACTGGCAAAGCAGTTATGGGAGATGGATGTGTGTGTTTTCTATACCCTAATGTGGTTTGTAGAGACAGATGTGTTTGTTGATGCTGCACATTGACCCTGTGCCACCACTTTCTTAAGCATCTTGTAAATAGCCTGGGATTTTACATACAGTGTATGTCTGTTCATCAGGATTAATTGTTCATTATTTGATCTGTTCTTTTACACTGAGTTTGCGATGTTATTCTGCCATCCATCCATCCATCCATCCTACCTCTTTATCCAGGTCAGCATCGCAGGGGGACCTAGAGTTTATCCCAAGCAGCCCACGCATAAGGCTGAGGAACACCCTGGACGGGACGGCAGTCCATCGCAAAGCGCACAGCATCAATGACACTGATTTACATGTAGCTTAATTATATTTATTTATTTTGCATAAACAAGCAAACATAAACAAAACAGGTATTTCTTGAGGTGTTCAAGCCATTTTTGCTGTGACTGTATGTTTTGCAGCTAATACTGAAATATCAGTATACCTATAATTCCCACACTGTCATGGCTTGCGTCCTTCCGGAATCAGAACTACCTTGTTCAAACGCAACCTGCAGACATCGTGTCTCTCAGGGAAGGCAATAGACTGTATAGTTATCTCCTGAAAAGGATGTGATTCATTCCACCGAACTATACAACCTACTACCTCACTCTGCAGGGACACAGCAGGGCAGCATAATCCACCAATGCTGGGAGAAACGTCGATCATCCAGGGGCTGTCCAATGGGAAAATGATAGCTGTGCTAATATATGTGCATGATCATACAGGGGCTACCAAATGACATGAATGGTAACTGTGCTAATATATGTGCATTATCATGGAGGTGAATCTCTTAATATTTCTTTCATAACAGCTACGTATGGAGAATGGGGGAAGTTGATGAGAGGCAGGTGGCGTGAAATATAGAGTCCAGGGTTTCTTCCCTTCATCGCTGGGGTGGCTCGACGATGCGGCTGTCCTCTTAGCAAAGCCAGTAGATTGCATAGTTATTTCTGAGGGAGGCCTTATAGAAGCTCCACAACTATTCAATCTACTACCTCAGCCTCAAGGACAGGGTTGTCAGGGGCAGCTAGCTGAAACAGGAAGTCAGAGTCCCTGTGAAGGAAGAGGCAAGGAGATGGTTAGAGAAATACTAACCCCATCCCTGATTCCTGCAGGGAACCCAGCCGTGGCTGCGAATGCCAGACCTCGCGGTCAGAATCGTGTGACACGCGTGTGAGAATCACGCTAGGTGGCACGGCTTGATAGCTCCGGAGTCGAAAAAGGCTGGAGGAAGAAGAAGATCCGTTTATTTTTTTTCATTACTGGCAGAAGGAATTAGCTGAGTTTAAATCCAGATCCTGCATGGTTCTAATCCCCGGAGACGGCACCCAGAGAGCCGCACACTGTGCATCTGCTTATTCGAAACGACACCTCCAGGCAAAACCAGGAAAATTTTGCCAAAGAAATAGTAAGAAAGGGACAGGTTTTCAGCTCAGTATCCAGAACCATCCTGCAAGCTGCCCTGGAAAAGAAAATTGCAAGAATTGTCCCCAAGGTTACTCTCTGTCTTTTGTAAGTATAGATTGACACCGTGGCCCTCGTATAGAAAATACATGAGCTGGAAGGGCAGGATTATGAATACCAAGAGGATAAAGCAATCATTAAGGACCAAGGCAGGAACAAAATCAAAAGCTGCAGTGCATCAGTCATAAATACAGCAACTGGTGAAAATGGCAGAATATCCATAAAATAAAAACAGCCACTAAGAAAAGAGAAGTGCTAACTCCATGCTAACGCTAAGAAAAAAGAAGTGCTAACTCAGGCAAGTCCAAGGCAGAGCTCACTGGCACAACACGCAGATGAGCTTCCCGGGGCTCTGCAGACTGGGCCGGTTCCAGGCCCACGGCCCAGCGGATGCTCTCTGTTTAGCCGCATTAAAACAGGGCTTCCCCCAGCTGCCTGCACAAGCTAGCATTAGCCTGCGCAAGGCCCAACAGGAAACCAGCGTGACACAAAATGGCTGCTTTCAGCTGCTTTAGGGAGCCTGAGCCTCTGGTCTGCTGGGCAAAGGTCCACTCTGAAGGGCCAGGGAGGGGCTATCTTGGTGGAAAAGTGGAGAATGTGGGCAGGGGAGGTGTGGGATTGACCAGCGGTGCTCTGGAGGCGAGGCATGGAGCTCGGCTTAGATTCCCAGGAACGCTGCTGTAACTTTACCACTCGGATGCACGGGGATACAAAACCCAGGAACGCAGTATACAATTAATGTCTGTATATCTGCTTTCTGGAAATGGCAGAGCGATCCGGAGAAAATCCAGGAATGGTCTGAGGGTTGGAATATCAGAAAATGATTCAAGAATGATTCAAGAATTCATGCTTCTGTGGTTGGTGTTGCGACGCTAAAAGAGATTGATCATAGAGGCTTATCACACAGAGACAAACAGCTGGCACTCAGATACAAAGCACCAAACGTCAAAGCTGTGGCCCAGTAGACAGCGCTATTACATACGCATCCAGGGTTGGGGGTTCTAGTCCCACCTCCTCTGTGTGTGGAGCCTGCATGGTCTCCCTCTGCCATGAAGGTGTGATCCAGGTAAGATGTCCAGTTGACCTAACTGGTATCTCTGAATTGCCAGATCTCATCCAAGCGATATTCAACTAGCGAGTCATCGCCCATCCACATGGTATTGGAGACGGCCAGAGGCTGACGCCACACTGACACACTTATGCATGGTTGGGCTAACAAGGCCACACTTAAGCACAATTAATGACATTAGAAACCAAATGCACGGCTGAGCTCAAAAGTCACGCCAAAAAGGAGGTTAAAGTGGGAGAGTTCACTTCAGCAACGCTGTGGCTGCGATCCATTTCTTCGTTCAGAGGAATAACCCTCGTTAACCATTTCCCTACGCACACTGAGATTGTACCTAGCTGGTAGATACAGCAGCAGACACTATTAATAATAGCATAAATAGCATGTGATCAAAAAAACACCCCCTCCAAATCAATTTGTTCCTGCAAGACCAAAATGAAGACAGAGCAGCAATGCATTATGGGGTTTCTGCTAAGAAGGTACAGTAAGGATTTCACCTGGTCACTTCTATGGCCAGTCCCAGTTTAGGGAGCGCAATAAATGAAGCAGGGCTTGCATCTAGCATGTTCTTCTACTCTCTGAGCACCTGGGAGTGACTGAGTAAACAAACCGCTATGCAGGGTTCTTGTCACGCGAGATGATGCCCAGACCGCGTCCCAGGACAGGACACGAGCTTTGGGTATACCCTGAGCGAGATGCCGGTCCATCTCAGGCGACACATGGGAAATTTATCTAGCTGCATGTGATAGGAAACGCACATAATAGGAGGAGAACATGCAAACTCTGGGGTGGGATTCAAACTCACAATGCTGAAGGCATGAGGCAACAACACTACAACAAAATAGACAATTTAGTGCTTTCTTTCATGTTTCTTATAGTGATACTGAGGCCAAATTTTCTGAATACAAGATTCACAGCTGAAACTGTCATTCTGAAACCCTTCACAAATTACTCGGTTTACAGACTGCCTACCTCTGAAGAAATACTATGGTGTACTGTAGGTTACTGGTACAAATCCCATGGCACGCAGAGTGATGCCACCTTAGAGCTGTTAAGCAAGGAAGGCCCTTAGCCCTTAATTACTTCAGGAAGAAGCAGACTTGACCCTTTGATCCTACTCCGATTCCCTTCCTTCTCACTTTGGATGAAAGCATCTGCTAAATTAATGTATGTTAGCAGTCTGGGTCTACAGATTTTATTTCTAAACAACTGGATGGCAGATTATGATCTGCTTCGAAACTGGGAACAAATGGATTTTTCATGTGCCCATTGGGCTGGAAGCAGCACCAGACTCTTCCCCTAATACTCAAGTCTGAGTGAATCAGTCACTCTCCAAAGCGGCACTCATGCAGATGTGAAATCCTCTGCGGGGGGGGGGGGGAGATTAAAATGTTGGGGGAAGCCAGACAGATGCAGCATCAGGTTGTGAGGGGTGATGGCCCAGCGAAAACCTGGTACGTCTTTTTGAAACTTTACTTGTACAACAGCTAAGCCAGACCCTTGGTGACACACATGGTAGATGACATCATCATCTTCATCACCGTCATCATCATCATCTTTTTCCTGCCGTTTCTCCTGCTGAAGGCTGTGGTCAAACGGCAGACATGAATTCATCATGACAGAGAGATCCATAGGTTTGAAATATATATATATATATGGTTATTATGGATCAAAGAATTTTCATATTTCATATTCTGCTGGTGTAGTAGGCTTACAGGAAGGTGCTCATCATCTCTGGTCTCATGCTGGTGAGACAGCCTTTATTATAGGACTTATAACAATCTCAAACCCTATTTCAAACAATCTTAAGCACCCATTCAAAGTGTTGACGAAGCCTGTCATCCATTAGCGATGACCAAAGCAATTTTTTTCACTCTGAGCTGTGGCTTCGTTCATTTGTGGCCCGTCAAGAAGAACCAGTTTGAGAATTAATTGTGAGACCTCACAAAGCAACCTTTTGAACCTGATGATTCAGTAAGAGGCTGTTATGTCGGCTTGCGAATTACGAACGATCTCTGCCCTAGGCCACACTCAGGAAGTGTTTTGCTGAGCTCGCTTCCTGTTCTGTGCGGCATCCCTTTGCCGGCATGAACGCGACCACAGATAAGTATACAAAACACCGCGTCAGGTTTCCACGCGGGCAGAAAGTCGGACGACTACGAGAGGGGTCCTCTTAAAAGGATGCATTAATACAAGTGAGACATTAGGGTAAGATGCAGGGATTAAAGAGGTACTGTAGTTATGCATAGCCACTGCGTTTCAGAAAGCAAGAACAGGGAAATGGAGAATAATCTGGGCACAGCTTGAGTTGTTGTGTGTCCTCCAGTTCACCGAGAAAGGTGTGATGGAGAGATATTTGAGCAAAAACTGAATTGGATGGGGCAAGACTATGGGCTGATATATGTGCCACTAGAAACTGAATATGAATTTTGTATATTTGAGTCTGCAGTTATCCGCATTACAAAACTGAATCTGAATTTAATAGTTTGAATTTGAATTCCAGTAACTCGAAATATCATTTATCCTACCTCGAAAAATTCAGTTTGTGAATTCAATTTCAGTCTAGCGTGACACACCTAACTCGAGATAGCATTTATCCTACCTCGAAAAATACAGTTCGCAAATTCAATTTCAATCTAGTGTGACACACATCCGGATCCTTGAGAAAAAGTAATCGACCGCAGATTCACAATGCAACTCATTTCCACGTTTACGGCAGTTCTAACAGGTGTTCTGACGAGTTGAGCTACCTATCGAGACGGGCTATCGAGCCTTTCTGCGCATGTGCAGTTCCACCGTCGTGGGATTCATAACCACGCCTATAAATCTGAGCTACTTTGCGTTGGACGCACTGGTTTAAGGTGAATAATATTTTAAAAACTCTCTTAATTGTTACTTTCACGCACTGATTTGCGGTGAGTAATATTTAAACAACTTTTTAAATTTTTACTTTCAGCTTATACACATGCACTTTTGTGCATATACAATCTGTCTTCAGTGTACAGTGTAATGGCATATGAGCGTATGTTGATGCTCCATTTATGAGCTAGTCCGTATGAACACGTGCTCCATACCCAGACGTGCATATTATAAACATTTATTTTGTTTATAATTGTGATAAATATTAAATTACCCTATACTATTAAGTGTCCAGTGTTAATATATCCGAACAGGCTCCCCTCATTCATACATACTGGCCTATCGAGGTAGGCTACCCTATACTATTAAGTGTCCAGTGTTAATATATCCGAACAGGCTCCCCTCATTCATACATACTGGCCTATCGAGGTAGGCTACCCTAAATTATTAAGTGTTGGTGTTAAAATAATGTATCCAAATAGGCTCCCCTTATGTCATTTTATACTGGAAGCACACTGGCTACCCTATATTATTAAGTACAGTTTTATATGTTAACATTTTTTTACATGTCAATAATATGTTAATAATTAAAACGCATAAATAAAGATGTAATACGTTATACCTCGAATCGACGGATTCGGCTATCGATTAGCGCTACGGTAGC